CAAAATCCTATTAGCCATGAAACAAGGTCAGGCACAGGTTATCAGACGCGCAGTGGTCGAGTAGTAAAACCTAATAAACGTTATAATACCGACGAATGGAGCACTGTTAATTAATCATCCGGAATTGATAGACATTATAATGTAAAGAAAAAAAAGAGAGAACAGAAATAAAATAATAGTAGTAATAATAATAAAAAAAAAAACTTTGTGACTTTAAGACTATTTAAATTGTTCTCTTCAGTATGTATATGCATTTTTAATCATCATAATTGTTTATTATCATATACAATTTTATTAACATGTGTTGCTTATTTTTTCTTTTAAAAACAGGGAGATGTAGTATCATCGTACATGATGAACTTGAGCTGACCTATGTATAATGCTTGTTTGCGCATGCTCCGTATTTCTAGTAAATCTAAGATCACATGTTAAGGGTTTACAGAATAAATTTATATCTTGTGCTGAACACTCGTGGTGTTTTACTTTACTTCATTGTATCAACGCACTTGGTTTAATTTCTATTAATTATTGTTCACAATAAACGAACATTACAACAGAATACACATCAAATTCTGCATTAATAAGCGTAGTGGTGGAGAGTTTGCTTTTAAAGCTAGCGATGCTTTTTTTTATTTATACTTAGCTGAAACTTTATTTATTCATTAAATTGCACATAAAGTAACATTTACAAACATTTCACAACAATGTAATCCAGACAAGTAAAACAATACCGCAAGTAATTTGCAAAATAAAGGTACAAAAATGTTGCGTATAAATGTAAGCTCTTTGAAAGTACAATTAAAAATAAGGAAAAAAAATTGGTTGTTGAATTATCACTATAGAGAGACTTAGGTAACTTATGGAGAAATATTAGAAGTATGTAAGGAAAAACATGATTGAAAATATCCGATTCTTTAGTTCTTAAAATAAACATGTAAATGAATATGAGCGTTCTGACATGCCAAAGTCATTCACACTGATAGGAATTCTTACAATTGCGAAATAGATTTTTGAACATTCTGAAACTACTTCGCGCGAAATACATCATTTAAATTACAAAAAATGTTTGATAATAAAAGTTCTTCGGAATTCTTTTTCTTTCATTACTGTTGGTAACGTACTTATTTAGTTACTGGAGATGTAAGTTTGCTATGTTTTTACTTTCTTTATATGTTTTACTCACGTAATCAGTCATATTCTATGTTCTATATATGTTTCACCATAAACAATAAAAAGTGGCTTTCATTTATGAATTATTGGAGCATAAAATCTTATTTAGAAAATGTATTCGATGCTGTTTGTGTGACATTAGATATTTCATCATCAATTGGTATTTAAATACCGATTGTCTGGTGTAGCAATGTGTTATTAGGGGTGCTTTGGCGTTCGATCTTCTTGATCATTGTTTTATTATTTTCTAATTATATATTAAGACAACCTTATTTTGAATTTTTAAATTTTGATATTTGCTTCAAAATTTGCATAAATGTGTTCTTTTTAAATGTATAATTCTGAATTCGTATATCATTACCCTAAAGATATTTACGGAAAAAAAAACTCTTTTTGCCAAAATGTCACAGTGGCTTTGCGTTGAGTAAGTGATATAAGTATTGTCATCTTTATATTGATGGAAAAATGTATCGCAAATGCAGCAAAATTATGAGTACTCTTCCTTCAGAACATGCCTTAACATACGCCAGAATGCAGCTATAGCAATGTAGATTTTCAAAAAATTTCGGGGGAGCATGCCCCCGGACCCCCCTAACGCAAGTGCCTACACATTGGTTTCTTTCAAGCTACGCCCCTGTCCATCTGACATAATTTTTCTCCATTTCTCCCCTTATTCCTAGAGAAAATAATCTACATATTACAGACTGCCCTCATGCTTTATTTTACTTTTTTATGTCCCCGAAGGGAGGCATAATATAATCGCACCGTCTGTCTGTCTGTACCACTTCATTTGTGTCCGGACTGTAACTTTGTCATACATGTACATTGAGGGTACTGGTCGGGGACCATCAACCGGACACTTTTTGAACATTTTTCCGTACAGATTTCATAATTTTTAACCTAAAGATAAAAATTTTAACACAGTTCAGCTAGGTTCTTCTCCTAACTAACGAACTAGTTTGTTTATTTCTGAATGTATTGACACTTATATCTGAGGCTCCACAAGGAGGGTATCAAAATTACCTAAATTGTCTACACTTCAGTACCATGTGTCCGGACAGATATGTACATGATGTGATTTAATTATGATAAAAGCTTGGGTGTTTTGATTTTTGATTTTTAACATAATATACAATAATTCAGCAACAAATGCTGAAGTTTTGGATATTCTATTGTTTACTCTTCAAATGATTATAGCTGTTATATGAGGTCAGGCATTGTTTTATTGACCCCCAAATTTCAACGTCAACATTCTTGAAATAGACATCAAATTATTACCATTTATGGAGGTTGAAATAAAATTATTTACTTAATTTTAGAATAAACATGCATTTATTGTTGATAAAAAAGTGACTGACAACCACTGAACAAAGAAAATACTAAATTAAACATTTAACGGGCCGTCCGGGTTTGGTGGTTGTCCGGTTTTGGTGGTCCCCAACCAGTAGTCCTATAAATCTGACGTCGCTTTGAGATATTTTTGCTTCTGGGCTTGACCAAAATAAGCTATAACAAGCCTGAAACATCTGATATATTGGACTAATATTGAGGGATTTTGAAATAACTGGCACAAATGTCTACCACATCAAGACGATGTGTCGCGTCCAAGAACTGCGTCCCCACCTCAAAGGTCAAGGTCACACTATCATTTTTAGCTCGACTATTCGATAAGAATTGCTGTCCTACCAACAGCTCTTGTTAAGTTACACATTATCGCAATTAGAGTAAATAGGTACACACATTGGTGTCCGGACTATAACTTTGTCCTGCATCGAATGATTTTAAAATTACTAGGCATAAATGTCTACCACATCAAGACAATGTGTCACTTTCAAGAATTACGTCTCTACCTCAAAGGTCAAGGTCACACTAACATTTTGAAGTTTCACATTATCACAAATAGAATTAATAGGTGCACACAATTGTGTCCGGGCTGTAACTTTGTCATGCATGGAAGGATTTTAAAATAATTTGGCATAAATGTCTACAACATCAAGACAATGTGTCACATCCAATAATCATGTCCCTACCTCAAAGGTCAAGGTCACACTCCCATTTTGAACTTCACTTTATCACAATTAGAGTTTATATGTACACACATTCCTGTTCGGGCTGTAACTTTGTCATGCATCAAAGGTTTTTAAAATAACTAGGCACAAATGTCTACCCCATCAAGACGACATGTCGCGACAAAGACCCATGTTCCTACCTTCAAGGTCAAGGTCACACTTATAGTTTGAAGGTACTCATTCTCTCGAGAAGAGTTTGAAGATACACACTCATGTCCGGATTGTAACTTTGTCATGCATAGAAGAATTTTAAAATAACTTTGCACAAATGTCTACCACATCAAGACTATGTGTTGTGGCTAAAGCTCATGTCCATCTGTCGTTGTGTCCCCACTTACACAACAATTATGTCCAGACTGTAACTTTGCCATGCATTGAGTGATTTTGAAATAATTTGGCACAAATGTCTATCTCATAACAACATTTTGTCACGTCCAGGAATCACGTCCCTTCTACAAAGGTCAAGGTCACACTTATATTTTGAAGGTTCATGCTATCACAATTAGAGATTACAGGTACAATAAGACAAAGAACAATATTCAGCAATTAGTTACTTTCTGCTTAAGAAACCTTTTCGTGGGCATTCGTCACTTGGGTGACAGCTCTTGTTTTTAAAGATAAGGGTGTTTTTTTTAGAAATAAATGGAGAACTGTCTGCTTATTATAACAAATATGGGGGAGAACTGGTAGTGTAGGAATTATTTTGTCAGCTGATAAGGGGAGAGTATTCTAAAATTAAAATAATAGCTTAGTAACTTTTGTCATTGATATTTTTCGATAGAATCCAATTTAGCTGACCCAAGTGTGTTATATGGAATTAGTTTCAAATTGCCACAATAAGGATTTGGCACATCACAATTCACCACAGTGAAATAACGATTCACCACAGTTTTTTTTTTTTGTTTTTTTTTTTTTTGGGGGGGGGGGAATCTCGACTTTCTCTTATTTGCTTTACAAGGGGGCGCCTATTCCTCTTGTGATGAGCCGGTCAATTACATTGACCTTCTGCAACATTTGAAACAGCCAGCACTGGGTGTAAATAATAATTCCACAGTGGGACCAAAGCAATAATAAGTTTTGACTGGTCTTAGTTAAATTAATTCAAGGAAAAGGAAATTAATTTTATTTTATTAAAAGAGAATTAAGATTTTCAATTTATTAAAGAGTAATGTAATAATAATAGAAGTATATTTACAAGAAAGTAATATGCCAAGCTGGCCTGTCTGACTTGCCCGGCTATAGACTACTGGTGTATTATTTAAAAGAAAATCAAATAAAAAATCAAAGAATATATAGAATTATATACCTATCAATGAAATTTTCAGTGTCAGTTCTAGTCGGGTGCCGCCATTTTCAATGTAACTCAATGATAATTTCATATTATATTAAAATAAAAGAAATCTTAAATGATTAATAAAACATTTATACAGTACATATATCGAACATAAATAATCCGTGTAATGCAAAAAAAAACATGTGTTATGGATTACAATAAGGAAAAAAATGATAAAGATAATTGATTTAAAAACACATTACATTGTATTTCTAAAACAATTGTCACATCTTTAATCCTAAATAATTTGTAACTTAGTGTTTTTGTGGGTTGTAGGGTATTTTGTTAGTATAGATTTTTGGGTGGTCGGAAAGGCCCAGGGCTTTGTCCATCACTGATAGCTTTTGGCCTTTTAAAGTGTTTCAGATGATAACATTTTTATTATCATCACTTATAACAAATATGATTTGTTTCATTTTATTTTTCAGAATTTATTAAAGTCAATTCGAGCTGAGGGTACATCATTTGGATTTGGAAATGAAAGTCAGAAGACAATAAATTCAAGCAAAACTGTTATAGTAGAATACAGGTTTGTTAATTTACAATAAATTAATGCATACATGTACATCATGCACTTGAAGTAATTTATAAATAAGGTCTAAGAAAGTTAACCCTTTACCCCATATATACGCGAAACAACGCACTTTCGACCCCCCCCCCCCCTTTTTTTAGGCCTCAAAGAGTGAAAAAATGTCCTATTTGGTCCCCAAACACATGTTTTCGTTTGAGAAATGTTGCTAAAAAAATTGAGCACTTTTTCGGCGCCGCCCCCCATCCAAAAGATACATCAGGGGGTTGCCAGAAGGGGGATGTGCCCCCTTCTGTTAGGGGGGTTTGAAGGGGGGCAGATTCCCCCTCATCGCCAAGAAAATTTTGGACTTGTGAGAGGCTAAAAATGACCCCAGGTCGATCATAATGTAACGTGTAACCAACGCTGAAAAGCCTTTGACTCTATCTCAATCCCTTGAGAAGTTGCAGCACTTTGAAATACATTTTGATGGAAAAAATCGAGGCAAAATAGTGATTTTGGGCAATTTTGAGATGCCCCCTCGTTGCCATGGTAACATGAAATTTAAGACTGAGCATGTCGTTACAAAGGCAATGGTCCAGTCAACATTTGTGCCAAGTTTGATTAGTATTGAAGCATTTTTCATAGTTTCATAGCAGTTTGAACTTGTAACAGGAGGCTTTTCACTGAAAACGGCCATTTTCCACAATATGCTCATGGGGGAAAGGGTTAATAATGTTGTTTTTTTCTCTGAAAATAGAATGGAATATTATTACAGAAACCAACCTCAGACCAAAATTATGATAAAAATATTCTTAACAAAAATTAATAATAAGAAATCATACCTGTTAACAAATAAATGATTGGAGGGGTGTCTGGTTTGTGGGCAGTGAAAGGCTTAAAGCCACTTACATCAAGATGGTAAAATGAAGTATAAATAGGATCAAATTTCAAATGAACTGAGAACAGTTAATAACACCTTGATAGGCGTAATGTGAGGGGTAAAAATCTAAATAAAAGGGTAATAAATAGACTGAACATTTGCTAAACATTCTGGTTCTGTTGAATAATGTCTAATATTTTCTCCTTTTCAGTTCACCCAATATTGCTAAGCCATTTCATGTTGGACATTTAAGGTCTACAATACTTGGCAATTACATAGCTAATCTGTATGAGAGACTGGGATGGAACGTTGTAAGACTGAACTACTTGGGAGACTGGGGGACACAATTTGGTAAACATTTTATATTATCTGAAATATGGTTGTATTTAAGCTGCACGCCTCCAGATAAACCAAAATATTTCAAGAAAATCAAATTTGAGAAAAAAGTACTGGGATTTTAAGAAAAGTAAAAAGATTCAAGATTAAAGTAATAATTTCTATGTTATGTGCGATTAATGACCAATTTTGCAGTGTTTTCAACCATATTTCTACTGCCTTAGTAATGCAGTTAGGGCTATTTTTGCACATTTCAAGCTTTTTTTTCCGATTTACATGGGTTGTATGTGCTGCTTGCAATGTTGAAATTATTATCTTTGTTCACTTCACAATATTTTACTTTTCTATGCATTTTCTCAATTTTCATAAAAATTAGCATGAATTTAGAGGTGTGCTGCTTTAAAAGACAAGCTTTTGGAAATTAAGATCTTTGTTAATGGTCACACTCCTGTAAAGTTACCATCGAAACAACAAACTTCTAATGGCCAACAATATAAAACTTGGACAGACTTGATGAATCTGGAGGCTGGTCTTGATCTATTCTGGTGTGCAAATGTGTCCATGGCCGAGTGGTTTAGGTCTCTGACTTCAAACCACTTGCCCCTCACCACTGTGGGTTTGAATCCAGACAGGGACTTTAGATTCTTTCATCTGAGGAAGCTATTCAGCCAGCTTATGGAATATCAGTGGTTCTACACAGGTGCCCATTCTTGCCTGAAACAATCTGATGTCTTTCTCAACCAGTAAAGCTGGAAAGTCACCATAATATATATATTATGACCTTTACTGTGTTGGTGCGCCATAAAACCAAACCAAAAAACAAAAAAAAATATATATCTATATATACTGGTGTGAAGGCTTGCAATATTCTACACTAGTGTTGAGTCTGGCCTGGTTCTATAAGCATAGATTTATTAAGTTTGAAATTGAGTGTAAATTTATGAATACGAAAACTGTCAATAACTTATCTTTGATATCTCTATTATAAACAGGTTTATTAGCTGTAGGATTTCAAAGATACGGAAATGAGGAAGATCTTCAGGCAAATGCTTTGCATCATCTGTTTGAAGTACGTATTTGTTTTTTAATGTGCTTTATTACAATACTGTATATGAGCCGCCCAATGACAAAACCAACATAATGGGTTTGCGACCAGCATGGATCCAGACCAGCCTGCGCTTCGCGCAGTCTGATCAGGATCCATGCTGTTCGCTTACAAACCCTATAACAAGTAGAGACACTAATAGCGAACAGCATGGATCCTGATCAGACTGTGCGGATGCGCAGGCTGGTCTGGATCCATGCTTGTCGTAAACCCATTATGTTGGTTTTGTCATGGCGTGGCTCATATTTTGATTTAAAAATCCCCAGAATCAAAACTTAATACATGTAGTTTTAAATGCAAGGAGGAAAGTCATAATTGCAAATGAAGCACACAAAAAATTAGTGCAGTAAGATTTTTTTTTTTGTTAAAATATATGGCTTAAATTGAAATAATTTCTTGCTGCCTGGAGTTAAGTCAAAATTACAGGTGTATTTTACAAAATCAGCACACAAAATATTGATGTTTTAAGTGTTTTAAGCTAGTGTTAATTAGTTGGGGGGTTTTTTGGTCAAAATATGCATAGCTGAAGTGAAAGGCATTCACCACTGCCTAGAGTTTATATTTTATGCCCTCACTTTTTTCTCACTTCACATAAACCTGTTGTTTATTTAGATATATGTGAAGATAAATGAAGATGTAGCTGCAGAAAAGAAAGAAGGTAAAAGTGTGACACACCAGGAGGGCATGGAAGCATTCAGAAAAATGGAACAAGGTTAATGAATGTGCATGTACTTTTTTTAACACTTAACACCTTATATTTAAAGGCAGCATATCTCTTAGATTTTTATGCTCATATTTTAGGAAATATAAAGAAAGTGTTTTATGTAGCAAAAATATTTTCAGTGATCAAAATTTTAATAATAAAGTAGTTAAAGCTATCATAAAGCTATCACTTATTTTCAAAATCAAAACATGTGTATATGTAGCTGTACTTTTATAAGTCGGTGAGTCCTTACCTTACTAGCAGCTGATTAATTTACCTACACGACCAATGCAGACCAAGATCAGCTGTCACATCCCTGTCTTAGCTTTCTGGAGACTGATTAAATTTACCCACACAACCAATCAGATGGCACATCCCTGTTTTAACTTGCCGGTGGTTGATTAAATTTACCTACACAACCAATGCAGACCAAAAGAGAAGTCCATTTAAAATAGTTTAATATGGTTTTAAATTATTATTTCTCATTCAGCATGTAAAGTGTAACATTGATGTAAATATTTACACATTTCATAATCTCTTAAAACCTTTATGCATTTGTTTAATGTTTTAATATTTTCAAAAGATATTTGTTCTATTGGAGGCACGCAGCTGAATTGTGAGTCAATGAAGTAAAATTCAAATGTTTCATGAAATGGTGTCTATTGGTGACTCAGAAGTTGTTATGAGCGGGAAAGTATACATAGAAAAATCAAACAAAAAAACTGCACGCTGCAGCTGGGACCGGCTGCGAAGCCAGAAACCGGTTTTTTATGAAAATATATATATTTGAGCCGTGTCACGACAAAACCAACATAATGGGTTTGCGACCAGCATGGATCCAGACCAGCCTACACATCCGTGCAGTCTGATCAGGATCCATGCTGTTTGCTTACAGACCCTATTCAAGTAAAGAAACTGCTAGCGAACAGCATGGATCCTGATCAGACTGCGGGAATGCGCAGGCTGGTCTGGATCCATGCTGGTCGCAAACCCATTATGTTGGTTTTGTCGTGACGTGGCTCATATATATATTTCTTTTTTCTCCAGTATTTGTTATAATTTTTGTTGGTTTGATTTATTTGCAGGTGATACTGAAATGCTCAACATTTGGCAAAGATTTAAAGACATCAGTATACAGGAGTATTCTAAATTGTATCAGGTATATTATTCTATATTCTAACATATTACAAGGTGCAACATTAACTTGAACACTACAAAAAGAAAAAATACATGTACATAATTATGGTAAAATGTGGCTATTGAATTTTAACTACCACCCCTTCCTTTGTATTTTTACTGTGATAAAATGTAGCTGTTGATTCCCCCCCCCCCCACCCCATTTATTTAAAACATTACTGTGTCAAAAGGAGAGAAAAATGAGTAGCCTCACTGAGAATCGAACTCATGAATCTGTTATGCCGTAGCCAGACCATACCACTTTTCTATCCAGCCTCTAACATTTTCACTTTTAACCCTTTCACTGCCATAGGGACGGCATATGCCGTCCCTATTATTTACGGCGTATTTGCCATTATGGACGGCTTTTGCCGTTTCTATAATTATAATAATAATTATAATAAAAATAATTATAATAATAATCATAACAAATATATAGATAATTAAACCATCGACAATAATTATTATTATACTAGCAGATTTGGAAATATATAAAATTATTATAATACTAATAACAAATAATAATAATAATATTAATTAATAATATAGTTAAATTTCTTAGAAAATCTTCTGGCAAATAGGTGATCAATAAATAAATAAATAACCCTCTGGCAGTGAAAGGGTTAATAAGTGCCTAATTTTAGATTTATTTCCCTTTATCAGATTTACTTTACAAACTTTTTTCCAAACAATAACTCCAAAAATACTTGAGGGATTCTCTTCAAATTTCATACACTGACATAGCACATTGGTAGGAAGTGCAGTGTGCAAGAATAATAACTCTCTTTTGCTTAGTTTTAGAGTAAGTCCCCATTATCAGATTTACTTGAAAAACTTTGTCCGAAGCATATCACCAAAAAAAGTCTTTGAAAGATTTTCAACAAAGTTAATGCACTGCCTTTCACCACTAAAAGTTCAATTCCTGACAGGGACTGTGGATTCCTTTATGTGTGGAAGCTGTCAAGCTAGCTTACAGAACTCAGGTGCTTGTTCTTTCATGAAATATTGCATGTAGTGGTACCTGGGGTCCTTTTTCCACTAATAAAGCTTGAAAGAAGCCATATGACCAATACTGTATTAGTGTGATGTAAAATCCAACCATCCAAAATTATTAACAGTTTTGACCCAATTTTATTTTATTTTCATCTATTTTTAGATATGTTATCTATTTTTAGAGCTCGTATTTAATTTTAGAGATTAGGTGTGACATTCACAGAGTACCATTCAGAGTCAATGTACGATAAAGAAGCCATATCATTAACAGAAAGGTTAAAGCACACGGGGATACTACAGACGGACAGGTTTATTACCCTTTCATATACAAGCTATCTTGGAAAGAGTTTAAGTTCATAACAAAATGATGCAAATAGTTCAAGCTTGTAGCAAAAAGATGCAAACAGTCTAAGTTTGTAGCAAAAGATGCAAATAATTTAAATTTGGAACAAAAAGATGCAAACAGTTTAAGTTGGTAGCAAAAAGATGCATATACATGTAGTTTAAGTTTGTAGCAAAAAGATGCAAATAGGTTAAGTTTGTAACAAAAAGATGCAAATAGTTTAAGTTTGTAACAAAAAGATGCAAATAGTTTAAGTTTGTAACAAAATGATGCCTATATTTTAAGTTCCTAGCAAAACGATGCAAATTGTTCAGAATAGATTCTGCTGTAGCTGGGATTTGAACTCTTGACCATCCACTTATAAGCAAAAGTAGCAAAGCTATAGACCACTGAGCCATAGAATTAATTCCCTGAGGCAGTCATCAGACGTTTTAGTTATAGTTATGAAGTTAGGTGTGCACTCAACCATAACAATATGTAGTTTCTAGTGTTGGAGAAGTGACCATGTCAGGTACATAAAGTTATTATGATGTTTCCATAAGATTGTAAATGTCTGGTTAGCTCAATAGTGTTGGACTCTGAATCGGACAATCTGGGTTCGAATTCTGGATGGTGCAACTTTCGTTGTGATTTATCATGAAATCCTTTCAATGTTCAAACTCCCTGTGTGGCTAAGGTGTCTGCCTCTCAACCCAGAGATCATGGGTTCAAGCCCTACTCGGGTTACGACCATGTTTCTTCATATGACACCGGTACTGGTTGGTTCCAGGAAGCGGACTCGAAAGTGATTTATATAAGTTGCAAGAACTTGTTTCGCAATCGAGCTTAAATAGATATGTTTAAGCTCTATGTACCTTCTGTACCACTGTACAGAAGTTATCAGTTCCTTGTGAAAGTGATGGCAACTAGTAATGGTAAACTGTTTGACAGTATGCCCAGGAACAATGCGTGGCTGAACTGTGTGCTATGGTGAATTGAAAGTGGCTTACTGCCATGATCCGGAGGGCTAAATACCAACACCACCACCTCAGTGCAGTGTAAGAAATTTGGATTTGAATCGACTAGGCTGGTCAGACTACCAGATTGGAATATTCACTAGCCCAAAAGACATTTCACTAGCAATTGATTCATTTGTCCAAAATAGTTGTTTATATTGCCTCTGAATATACAGTAGCCTGGTGAAAAGTTGGTAGCCCGAGGAGAAATTTAGTAGTCGGGCTATCGGACTACTGCTAGTTTCTAACACTGTCAGTGTAATAGTTTAAAACACATTTTTGAACATCAATAATATCTTGTCTTTGCTTAGTTTTTACAAATATGTTACTGATCTTCGCAGGTGACTTGTTTTATTTCAGTGAAGGTAAAGGGTATATTCAAATAGAATCAGATAAAGGTATACCAGATAAAGTGAATATTCTGAAAAGTGATGGTACAACATTGTATATTACAAGGTGAGATTTTTTTAAACAATCAAACAACACAAAATAATGATGCAGTTTATTTTTAGATGAATTATTAGAAGATTAGGAAGAACTATATAACCCACTGGGCATCAGCATTAGGATAATGTAACATTCAGGCATTTGATGCTGTTTAATTCCTATTCACATGAAACTTCTTAGATCCTTTGATTTCATAATATTGTAGGTCACTGCCCAAGGCAAGTGGCCAAGACACATAGTTCTAGCATGGTTCATGGCTGAATTTTAGTAATTAATAAACATAAAATTTGCTTTGATAAAATATAGCATGCATTATCATTCTCCCCACGTAACGGAAAGTAAAAACTGTAACGGAAAGTAAAAACTGTAACAGAAAGTAAAAACTGTAATACCTGCAAATTCAGCTTCATGTCACCTCAATTACAAACTTTGATAACTGAATTTTAAAGTGGATTGGTCTACAATGGGCACATTGTCCTGAAGTATTTCAAATATTGATAAGAACAATAGAAATGTATTATTTGGATATTCTTACTGTATATTTATGGAAAACTAAACTTTAATAGAGTTTTTAAGTGATTTAGTATGATGTGATTATATGTGATGAAAACTAATATTTTGTTCTAGAATACTTTATTATCTGCCATATATTGGTATATCATATTGGATCATGTATCTAATACTTGCCAGCAACATCCACAAATAATTCTTTCATGGTTCGTTGTCATGTATGATACAAAATAACACCAACATGATTCTATATGGTATTACAAATTTTCATGATGGACCAATTCCCTTTAAAGCTACATTAAATTAATTTCATAAAAAAAAAAAAGAAATAACGGTAGCTATATTTCATTAATTAAATATGTTTCATATCAACTCCCGTTCTTATTTTGGTGTCCAGACAACCAAAATGAGTTTTATAAGCCACAAATCTACGACCTCATTGTGGCGAAATTGGAAGTACAATTTCTATTTGCATGAGAAACTCCACCTTTGGGTCATTCATGTCAATAGAATATCGACAAACATTTTTAAGTAGCAGTCCAAATTTAACGGTATATTTCCGCATTATATTACGCATGTTTTCATACAAATTCCATCTTTTTATGAGATGATTACTTTTTGTAAACAACAGGGCTAATGCACCGTGAAACTAAAAAGGTAAAAGTTTGTTTGCACAAGAATATCTCATATTTGCTGTGATCCACATGGTTACAATTGATTTTACCATTGTGATGTAGCGCATACATGAGCTAATTATACAAGTCTTCATTTGCATGGTAAAATTTGTATATGAATTTTAGTGTTACCGTGGGATTTTCCTTTCAAAATCATAACTTATGAACAATTTTTAATGAGATTTACAACCATACTATTAAAATTGTTAACAAAACTTTAAAATGCTTGGTTTTTAAGCCGACGGAAATATATGTTTACATATCTTATTTAATGTAGCTTTAAAGTGTTTTACTATGTGTGTGTACATTTACATGAAGGAGTTATCTCTCTTTACAGGGATATTGCTGCCATTATGGACAGAGCAGAGAAGTACAAGTTTGATAAGATACATTATGTTGTAAGTTATAATTAGCATGGGATTTTTCTACTTTTTTTGCACACAGAACTATAGCTTTGATTCATGAGTAATTATAGCTAGATTCTTTCAAATAATTAAGCCTCATAGAAAATGTTTTACAGTTTCTTACAAGCCTGCTGAGTTCATTAAGGTGAATGTGTGGTATGTGGACTTTGAATATATATAAGGAGGAAGTCACTACTTTTCATGATAATTTAGTTGACAATTATGTTAAGCCCTTCAACAATGTTATAATTAATTCTGGTAGAGTAGTTACGTGAGAGAACAAAAATCAAATTGGTTCTAAGAAATCAGTGGTACATAATCTAGGAAATAGGTTGTTATTGGGTTCCAAACCTAGAAAACAGGTTGTTATTGGTACATAATTTTGGAAGCAGGTTGTAATCGGTACATGACCTAGAAAATAAGTTATTATTGGTACATAATTTAGGAAATAGGTTGTTATTGGGTACCAAACCTAGAAAACAGGTTGTTATTGGTACATAATTTTGGAAGCAGGTTGTTATTGGTACATAACCTAGAAAATAAGTTATTATTGGTACATAATTTAGGAAATAGGTTGTTATTGGGTACCAAACCTAGAAAACAGGTTGTTATTGGTACATAATTTTGGAAGCAGGTTGTTATTGGTACATAACCTAGAAAATAAGTTATTATTGGTACATAATTTAGGAAATAGGTTGTTATTGTGTACCAAATCTAGAAAACAGGTTGTTATTGATACATAATTTTAGAAGCAGGTTGTTATTGGTACATAACCTAGAAAATAAGTTATTATTGGTACATAATTTAGGAAATAGGTTGTTATTGGGTACCAAACCTAGAAAACAGGTTGTTATTGAAACATAATTTTGGAAGCAGGTTGTTATTGGTACATAACCTAGAAAATAAGTTATTATTGGTACATAATTTAGGAAATAGGTTGTTATTGGGTACCAAACCTAGAAAACAGATTGTTATTGATACATAATTTTGGAAGCAGGTTGTTATTGGTACCTAGAAAAACAGGTTGTTATCAGTTGTTGGTAACTTATTACCTAAATATTGTGAAATGTGTTATTTTTAGTCCCCTACCGGTTTACCGGAGGGGACTTTAGGTTTACCCTTCGTCCGTCTGTCTGTCTGTCAGTCCGTCCGTCAACAAAACTGGATCCCGCGATAACTTGAAAAGTACTGGAAATATTTTTATGAAACTTGATATATGGATAGATGGCAGTATGGAGATTATGCACGTCTTTTTGTTTTCTTCCTATGTTGAAAATTCTGGTTGCTATGGCAACAAATAGGCTGAAAATATGGCAAATTTTACACATAAACTGGATCCAGTGATAACGCAAAAAGTACTGGAAATATTTTTATGAAACTTGAAATATGGGTAGATGGCAGTCTGGAGATTATGCACGTCTTTTTCTTTTCTTCCTATGTTGAAAATTCTGGTTGCTATGGCAACACATAGACTGAAAATATGGCAAATTTTACACATAAACTGAATCCAGTGATAACTCAAAAAGGACTGGAAATATTTTTATGAAACTTGACATATGGGTAGATGGCAGTCTTGAGATTATGCCTGTCTTATCTGTTCTTCCTATTTTGAAAAAATATTGGTCGCCTTGGCAACAAATAGGCTTAAAACATGGCAAATATAACAATATTTGTGATTAGTCAAAAAGAGCTGAAAATTTTTATGAAATTACATCTTTAATTCAAGAGTTATCTCCTCTTTAAGAATTTTGCTTTTAAAATGTTATATTTTGGTAACAGGGATGTTTCAAATATTAACTTTAGAGTGTCCTTCAGTCCGTCTGTCTGTCTGTTCATATAAACTGTTTCCTGTGATCACTTTTAAAGAACTTTTCCAACAAATTTACTTAAAATAGAGAAAAATTGAAACATTAGTGAATGGCCAATGGCCCTTCAGAATGTTGATGGGGTTCTAACTGGTAGGGGACTTATGGATTGCTTGCAATACTATGATAATTGCTTGTTCTTTTTGAAATCTGCACTTCAAGGTTTTGTTTATGATTTTATAAATGATATTTTGTTCTTTGATCTATCAATTTTTAAATATACTTGTTTTAGGTAGAAAATGCCCAGCATATGCATTTTAGTCATCTGTGTGGTGCCATGAATAGATTTCCTGAGTGGAATAATAGGTAATGACTTCTTTCTTTACTAAATGCCTCTAAAGGAAAAACTTTTCATGTCTTAGTTCAAGGCATTGCCAAAGATGATTGAAGTGTTAATATTAAAGCGTGTTCATTTCGTTATATCCAATTGGTTGTAATTAACCCTTAATTGATGTAATGGACTTGGCCTATTTTTAGTTTTGGAACTCCACATACGTCCAAAAGCTTAAAAATATTAATTGGAAATTCTCACATAGATCAACTGGGGCACTAAAACAGAAAAATATGCAACAAAAATAAAGAAATATACTCAGAAATAGATTAAAGATAGTATTTTTGTGCTATTAAGATTTGAGTAAAAATGGTAGCAACGCTTTTTAATTTTTGGTCATTTTTTCACAAAAAGAGTTATTTTTCTGGAAAAAACGAAGAGAACAAATGATCTGAAATTTTGCACACAATTTATTATTAATTTCAGGACTTTCTAAAAATACACATCCCTTGAGTTCAGTGGAGCGTATTTAAGATTTATAATGGAGGTTGGACAAGTCCATTAAAGAAATTTAGCAGGCAAGAGTGTTTCGCACAATATGGAACACATACTGATCATTTCTTGCATATCAGACTGGTGTTTCTGTTAGTTTTACCTATGCCTAAAATTTCATCTGGCAAAGGTGCCAGATAAGTCGCATGCTATACAGTGGCATGCTTAGGATGACGTAATTTTGCTGTTATGAATGAAGTTGTAATTTCATATGCTGTTGTTAGAAAATAGTTGCAGATGTAATGACATAAATGTCCATGGAAAATTGTTGAATTGCTGTAAATAATTTAAGATATGATGGAGTATGGTAGGATAATTACAAGAAAAAATATCTGACGTATGTTTGTTGTTCGGATCGGTATATCTGTTCCTCGGGGAACCCGCCTCTCGGAAAGGGTATTTCGATCTGAACTGCAACATATGACAGCTATTATTGATAATATTTACATAATTAAAAGGAACTAGTATTGTATCATATGAGCCGTGTCATGACAAAACCAACATAGTGTGTTTGCGACCAGCATGGATCCAGACCAGCCTGCGCATCCGCGCAGTCTGATCAGGATCCATGCTGTTCGCTTACCAACCCTATTACAAGTAGAGAAACTAATAGCGAACAGCATGGATCCTGATCAGACTGCACGGATGCGCAGGCTGGTCTGGATCCATGCTGGTCTCAAACCCATTATGTTGGTTTTGTCATGACGTGACTCATACATATATTTATACAGTATTTTGTTTCCTCTACATGACAGATTGAATGAAGATCTCCATGTAAAGTTTGGTAGAATTGAAGGAATAAGCACAAGAAAGGGCAATGTGGTTTTTCTGAAGGATGTTTTAGATGAAGCAGCGAGTAGATTTAAGACATCAATGATGGCAAAGAAAAGTAAGTATCAAAAACAAACTATTTTTAGAAATAATTTATCCCCAACAGTGATTTTACAACTTGTAAAAATCACAGTTTAGAGTTCGGATGTGAGGAATAAAAGCACATGGTCGTAGCTAGAATGATATAATGCTTTGAAAACCTGAACCACAAATTTTCAAATTTCATGAATGGCCCATAACTCTGTCAAAGTCCATGCTAGAGACAGTAACCTCCTATTATGAACTTAAATAAGTGTATGAAGTTACATGTGATTGAGGAGATATGCTATTGTACCAGAAATTATAAGTAAAACTTGTACCAAAGTATACACCAACACTGATGCTGATGCCCATGTCCATGTGAGTAGAATAGCTCCACTATTCTACTAATAGTCAATTAAAAAATATGAATTTGTATGTGCATATCACTAAATACTATCTGTTCAATAAAAACAAATGCTTTTATAAATTTTCAATATTTTATCTTATGCAGAAAATAATTTGACATTAATGGAATAACAAACAACATAATGTATGTTTAACTATATGCTATATAATCAGTTCAATAAAAACAAACGCTTTTCTTAAGCTTTAGACGTTTAGTTTTCTTCAGAAAAAATTGACGGTTTTAACTATATGCTAAAATTCTTCCTCATAAAAGACAAGTTTTTCGCTTGAATGATTTTCAGTTGAGTTATTGCCCTTGAATATAAAATGTGTCTTGCCCAGTTAATGATTTTTTGGTCTCTGGCTACACAGTAGCTGCAACTTGCGGTTGGCTGTCATGAGGCGACACATGTGATCACTGATGGCCCATGTTACTATCAAGCATTGAGTAAAGGACACTGTCCTACCAACAGCTCTTTTTTGTGAACAAATATTTGGTTGTTTATAGCATAAAGCATAATTAATGATCTTTTTTATGTACATTTATATTACAATGACTAGATTATATTAAGATTTGAATTCTGTTTAGGAGTAGTTCTTGTTATTACAGATTATAAAATTGATGAAAAAGACATAGATGCCGTAACTGAAGAGTTGGGGAAAAGTTCAATAATTGTTCAGGATCTCGGCCAAAGACGCATAAAGAATTACAAATTCAATTGGGAAAGAATTATGTACAGCGCAAAGCTGCAATATTGTCATGCTAGACTTTGTAGGTAAAAGTAATGAATTAATTACAGTGAGATTTGAAAGTTTAGAAAATTTTTATTCTTGATGTCTGGATTTATTTTGCCTATTCTTGCTGTTCCGCCTTTTGTGTTTTTTTTTTTAACCAAAATGTCTGGTTATTAGAATTTTGAATGATGAACCGACCAAGTGGCAGGGCATAAGCAATTCTTCTCATGATTATTTCCCCCTATATTTTCAGGGGCTTTCACACAAACTTTCTGAGAATGATTGTTATCAAGTGCTTTGGTTGATATTGTAATTTAATCATATTTTTTGCAGAAACATTGCTCTTTCCTTTTAACATATATTGTCACCTCAGTGCAATAAGCCAATAACTGATTAACTCCTATTAAATTTAGAAGAACTTATTCCGTTACTGCACTAAGGTGATGAAATTATTATGTAATATTTGGGTAAAACCTGTAGACTACCTATCCCTTTTGTGTTTTTCAATATCAAGGCTTCTTTACTTTTGGCAGCTCAATTTTTAACTTGTCTGTTGCCAAGGAAAAACTTCAGCTTCTATGATTACAGCTTTGTTGTTGTTGTCATGCAAAAACTTTAATGAAAGTCACTGTTCAAACATTTTAACACTTAACCTGCTGTAACCAAAAGAGATTAGCCTTTGTCTCTAGCATAGAGCCAGACCAGCCCATACATACGTGCAGCCATACTAGGTTTTATACTTTTGGTAGCTCAATTTCTATATTTTGATATTGACTTTCTTTAAAATTCAAATAGACTGTTCCAAAAGATAAAGCAGGGTGAAGCCATTACACAAATTTAGCACGTTAAGGGATAATAAGTATCAATACGAAAGTTAGTTGAAAAAAGGAAAAGCATTGCAATGCTTTCAACTCAATTCAGGCTTAGAATCGCACAAAAGATTGATTTTCAAATAATTTTTAGCATATTTCTCTATTATCTCTTGTATATTTTGCAAGTTGATCTGTGCAAGAATTTCAAATTTTATGTTTTAAGGCTTTTAGACTTTCGGCTTTAAGGCTTTCCAGCATGCCTCCAAATTTATGCTAAATTTTCATGAAAATTTTGAAAAAGAATTTAAAAGTATAGTGTTGTGAAGAGAACAAAAAAAGTAATTTACACATTGCAAACAGCACTTATGGTGATAAACACTGCAAAATCAATCATTAATAATGACATGGCACAACATGTAAATTATTACTTGAATTTTGAATCTTTTTTAATTTTCTTAAAGTTTGTACTTCTTCCCTATTTTTAAGTATTGGGAATAAAATTTTTTGCTATCTTAGGCTTTTCAGCTTTTTTAAATCTCATCATTTAAAAAAATTTTAAAAATATATATCACTAAGTTAAATAATTTTTCAGTATAGAAAAGGGAAGGGATGGGTTACTTTTAGATGAAGAAATTTTTCAGAAATCCATTAAAACAAACTCAAGCAAACAGAACTATTTTCACATTTGAGAATAATAAATAAAATATTTATATTTATTTTAGTCCCAACTACTTTGAAGATTTTGTTTCGCCCAAAGGGAACCAAATAAAGAAAACCCCAACCCCCGGGGCTTGGCACTTTTTTAGGATAAAAGTAAAAAAATTTTAATTTTAAAGTAAATATAAGTTATAATTTTTAAAAATTAAAAATATGACCGGCCCATTGAGAAAAGGGGCACTCGGGCATATATGACGTAACGTCAAAAACTTCGGGAAATGGAGAGCGGCTAATGACAGCGATTTTTTTCGTCGCCATACTAGTTTCGGTGCGCGAGATTTATAAAGTATTGGCTGTATATGAATTGTTTGAGGAAATGGACGAATTTGAAGGTAAAAAACAAACATTATATTATATTTATTTTTAAAAAATTGGTGTCTAGTCGTTGTTACTGTCATATTTATTGACTTTTTAAACACGTCTGCTGTTCGCTATCGTTTGCAGCTTTAATCCCGGTCTACGAATTATTCACAGCAAAACTGTACATTAATTTTAAATGATGTCACACTTTGCAATTTCTGTCAGTTTATGCCATAGTTGTTAATTTAAACTGAATTTTATTAGCGCTGTATTGATTTTTTTCTTTTGACAGCAGTGTTTACATAAATGCTAAGCGACGTGATTCTCTCCCCTGTTTGCTATTTTTAGCAAAAATTATTTTATATAATAAATATTGATAGCCTAGCATTACATGTGTCCGTGGCTCAGTGGATACAGCGTGTGCGTTGCGTGCGCGTCGATCGTGGTTCGAAACCTCGTTCTGTCTTTATTTATTCTTTTTTTTACATTTAATCTTTAAATGTTCTTTCAAATACTTTTTCGATTATTTTAGGAATTAAATGGATTATTTGAATCATTTGGAGTACCTGCCGAGCAGAGTCAAACATCAACAGAGGTTGATATTCCTGAAGATCTGAGCCAGGAGTTTGAAGTCAGTTGACAGTGACCCAAGAACAGTCTGACACAGAACAGGTAGTGAATGAAAGGATTGAAGAAGTGATTAGAAATTATGACACTGTAAATTCCAGGGAATCAGACTCAGACAGAGACACTGATGGCGCATCATGTAACAGAGCCTGTAATGTTTGTACGTGTAAAGTTGATTGCCTTCTCTAGTTTGACAAAGCTAGTGTTGACAGTCACATACTTTCTATGAGAGAGATTGACAGAAGAAATGAAGCAGAGATTTTCATTACTGGGAGTGTACATCAAATTGTTACTGACGAAACTCTTAAAGGGAAACGCCGGAAACGGACTCGTTTTAGATACACATTTCATGGTAAACCTATCTGTAAGAAGGCATTCATTTGTATGTAAATGATATCGGATCAAAAGCTCTCTGAAACCAACTTGATCACTTTACTACCAATGGCGCAATACCACGTACCCACGGCAACAAGTGGAAGAAAACCACACCATGCCCTCGGTTACAATGAGATACGGTTTTGTGTAGACTGGATTTTATGGTATGCTGATATCAATGGTTTACCTATGCCAGCAGCACCCAGGGCCGTGACGGGGAAGCCCCTAATCTTCTCCCGTCGAACCTTACAAAAGCTTCTCTTACACAGTCAATATTGTCAGGCATGTGAGGAGTCAGATGTACGGAAGCTCGGAGTGTCATCATTCAAAAATGTATGGAAAAATTGCATTCCACACATAAAGATAACGTCACCAAAAGATGACGTGTGTCATAAGTGTGAGCAGTTGCGACATAGTGTTATGGATGCTGTGACGGAGCAAGCAAAACTTGATGCAGCAAATTGTCTCCGGGAGCATGTGCAGGTATTCTATATTGCTAATTGTTATCTTGTATTTTTCAAAGTAGCTTTTTATTTTCCCTTTGTTACATCTCATGTAAGTAATACCGTAGGCATAAAAATCATAGATATTTTATATACATGTACATCTTGGACAAACCACAATATATGTTTTACCTTAATGTTTAGGATGCTCAAACAGAACGTCAGGTGTGCATGACAGCGGTTATTCAAGCGAGAGAAGAGATGGTAGGTTACAACCCGACCGACAATACCCTTGCAACCAATTTCCACATAGTTCAGTAAGGTATGCATATGACAGTTATGGTATAAGCTTTAAATATCTTTTACAGGTTATATGACCATATATAAACGGTTGTTGTATATATAACCGAGCTGTAAGGCAATTGCATATTACCGTTTACATTCATTAAAAATTAATTTTTTATTACGAACTTATAATAATGCAAACTTTCTTTACTATTAGAAAGTAAAATGAAATAAATATATAAATCGATTTGCAGCAGTGCATACAGATTATATTAACGTCACGATTATCCGTTGAAAAAATGACGTTATAAACGTGCAATATTATAATTATTAGTGCAAATAACATATTGAGAGTGCAAAAGTCTGAAGGCTCCTGTCTTTATATTTGATAATTAAAAAAATGGATTTAACATACAAAACTGCATGGTTTTTAAATTAACAATTTGGAAAATGCATATGTGATTCATATTGGTAAACTTAGATTAGACAGAATATTAGTAAAAAAAGTAATCATTAGAATAGTCAACATACATGTATAATATAAAAAAAATGCTTAGTATTTTATTGATTAATATTTTGGTCAATTTATCAGGTTCATATCACTTTTGACTACAGTCAGAGTGTGACAATCCCTCATCACAGTCGACAGATGGGACCCATGTACTTTGTAACAGGCAGGAAAATAAATATGTTCGGTATCCGCATTGACTCTACAAGTGAGCAGTTCAACTACTTAATAGATGAAGATCAGTCTATAGGTATGTTAACTATTAACCAAATTTACTTAGAAACGTATATCATGACAGAATAGGATATGTGATTGGATGTGGGTAAATGTGGGTTATTAGGCATATTGTCGTCCTCCCGAAATACAAGTATGATCCTTGCATTAATGAGTTTTACACTACGCTATATTATTGCCATTTTTATTAATTGATATAAAACTGTATTTCATATAAATTATTGTCACCTTACAGGTTTAGATGGAACTGGGACACATGGACCAAATTCAGTATTGAGCATGCTCCATCATTGTTTACAGAATTACGGATTTGGCGAGAAAGGACTTTATCTTCATGAAGATAATTGCGAAGGTAAATCTTGTTTTCACATTAACTTATGAATAAATATTCAACATATTCATTGATTAATAATACTAAAACAAGTAATATAAAGTTATTTCCGTTCCTTTTTGTGTCGCCTCTACGGAGTAGTGGCGACATATAGGGATCACTTCTCCGTCGTCTGTCTGTCCGTCTGTCTGTCTGTCCGTCTGTCCGTCCGTCCGTCACAAAACTTGTCCGGACTACTCCTCATAAACTACTGGTGCAATTTCATCCAAACTTTACAGGAATGATCAGTACCAAGTCTAGTTGTGCATATTGTCAGGATTTTCCGGTTCAATGATTTTTGTCAGAGTTATGGCCCTTTAATAATTTTTATGCCCCCATTTTGAAAAAAAGGGGGTATATTGCTTTGCAATTGTCGGTCCGTCGGTCCGTAGACCAAATGGTTTCCGAGTGATAACTAAAGAACCCTTAGGCCTAGGAACTTCAAACTTGGTATGGTGATTGGTCATGACCAGTAGATGACCCCTATTGATTTTGGGGTCAAGGGGTCAAAGGTCAAGGTCACATTGACCTTGAAAGCAAAAACGGTTTCCGATCAATAACTAAAGAACCTTAAGGCCTAGGAACTTCAAACTTGGTATGGTGATTGGTCATGACCAGTAGATGACCCCTATTGATTTTGGGGTCAAGGGGTCAAAGGTCAAGGTCACATTGACCTTGAAAGCAAAAACGGTTTCCGATCAATAACTAAAGAACCTTAAGGCCTAGGAACTTCAAACTTGGTATGGTGATTGGTCATGACCAGTAGATGACCCCTATTGATTTTGGGGTCAAGGGGTCAAGGTCAAGGTCACATTGACCTTGAAAGCAAAAACGGTTTCCGATCAATAACTAAAGAACCTTAAGGCCTAGGAACTTCAAACTTGGTATGGTGATTGGTCATGACCAGTAGATGACCCCTATTGATTTTGGAGTCAAGGGGTCAAAGGTCTAGGTCACATTGACCTTGAAAGCAAAAACGGTTTCCGATCAATAACTAAAGAACCTTAAGGCCTAGGAACTTCAAACTTGGTATGGTGATTGGTCATGACCAGTAGATGACCCCTATTTATTTTGGGGTCAAGGGGTCAAAGGTCAAGGTCACATTGACCTTGAAAGCAAAAACGGTTTCCGATCAATAACTAAAGAACCTTAAGGCCTAGGAACTTCGAACTTGGTATTGTGATTGGTCATGATCAGTAGATGACCCCTATTGATTTTTGGGGTCAAGGGGTCAAAGGTCAAGGTCACATTGACCTTGTAAGCAAAAAATGGTTTCTGATCAATAACTAAAGAACCTTAAGGCCTAGGAACTTTAAACTTGGTTTGGTGATTGGTCATGATCAGTAGATGACCCCTATTGATTTTGGGGTCAAGGGGTCAAAGGTCAAGGTCACATTGACCTTGTAGGTAAAAACGGTTTCCGATCAATACCTAAAGAACCTTAAGGCTTAGGAACATCAAACTTGGTATGGTGATTGGTCATGATCAGTAGATGACCCCTATTGATTTTGGGGTCAAGGGGTCAAAGGTCAAGGTCACATTGACCTTGTAGGTAAAAACGGTTTCCAATCAATAACTAAAGAACCTTAAGGCCTAGGAACTTCAAACTTGGTATGGTGATTGGTGATGATCAGTAGATGACCCGTATAGATTTTGGGGTCAAGGGGTCAAAGGTCAAGGTCACATTGACCTTTTAATTAAAAACGGTTTCTGATCAATAACAAAAGAACCCTTAGGCCTAGGAACTTCAAACTTGGTATGGTGATTGGTTATGACCAATCAGATGACCCCTATTGATTTTGGCGTTAAGGGGTCAAAGGTCAAGGTCACATTGACCTTGTAGGTAAAGCGGTTTCCGATCAATAATGAAAGAACCCTTAGGCCTAGGGACTTCAAACTTGAGATGTTGATTGGTCATGATCAGTAGATGACCCCTATTGATTTTGGGGTCTAGGGGTCAAAGGTCAAGGTCACATTGACCTCTTAGGTAAAAACAGTTTCCGATCAATAACTAAACAACCCTTAGGCCTAGGAACTTCAAACTTGGTATGGTGATTGGTCATGACCAGCAGATGACCCCTATTGATTTTGGGGTTAAGGGGTTAAAGGGCAAGGTCACATTGACCTTGTAGGTAAAAATGCTTTCCAATCAATAACTTAAGAACCGTTATGCCTAGGAACTTCAAACTTGGTATGGTGATTGGTCATGACCAGCAGATGACCTATTGATTTTGGGGTCAAGGGGTCAAAGGTCAAGGTCACATTGACCTTGTAGGTAAAAACAGTTTCCGATCAATTAACTAAAAACGCTTAGGCCTAGGAACTTCAAACTTGGTGTGATGATTGGTCATGACCAGCAGATGACCCCTATTGAGTTTTAGATGAAGGGGTCAAAGGTCAAGGTCACATTGACCTTTTAAGTAAAAACGGTTTCTGATCAATAACTCAAGAACGCTTAGGCCTAGGAACTTCAATCTTGGTATGGTGATTTGTCATGACCAGCAGATTACTCCTATTGATTTTGGGATCAAGGGGTCAAAGGTCAAGGTCACAATGACCTTGTAAGTAAAAACGGTTTCTGATCAATATTTAAAGAACGCTTCGGCCTAGAAACTTCAAACTTGGCATGGTGATTGGTCATGACCAGCAGATGACCCCTATTGATTTTGGGGTCAAAGGTCAAGGTCACATTGACCTTGTATGTTAAAACGGTTTCCGATCAATAATAAGAGAACCCTTAGGCTTAAGAACTTCAAACTTGGCATGGTGATTGGTCATGACCAGCAGATGACACCTATTGATTTTGGGGTCAAGGGGTCAAAGGTCAAGGTCACATTGACCTTGTAGGTAAAAACGGTTTCTGATCAATTTACTAAAAACGCCTAGGCCTAGGAACTTCAAACTTTGTATGATGATTGGTCGTGACCAGCAGATGACCCCTATTGAGTTTTGGGTCAAGGGGTCAAAGGTCAAGGTCATGACCAGTAGATACTTTATAACCCTTATTAATTGTT